ATAAAATATAGAAAACTCATTATTTAAAGGTTATTTAGATAAAATCAAATTAACAAAGAATAAATGTTCTGATGTTTTTCATGTCAGACGTGAGGTGATTCAGCTTTTGACTATTTCCTACATAAATATTATGTATAATTGCTGTTCTCATTTCTTTTTTTTTTTTGGAGAGGCTATTGCAAATTAATTTGGATGTCTGAAATGCTGATTATCAATCACTGTAAGCCTCTCTTTACTGCAATTTTTTTGTGCTCTCTCTTTTTTTGTTATCTTTTTTGCAGGAAGTCTGTGCTGAATGTGAGTATCATTAACTTCCGTTTTTTGGGAGCTGCAGCGGTGCAGCCCACTTTTATTTTCTGCATTTTTTATAATCATAGAAAAAAGGTCCACCGGCTCGTAGGTTTTAATTTTCTTTTTGATTGTAGCTCGTCTGAGCGTAGTGAGCTGGAGGACCTTTCTAAGGACCTTGTAACCTTTTTTTGAGATCAACACGTAGGCCCCTTCTGTGGGTTTTAATTAAAAAAAAAAAATAACAAAGAATAAAATCTAAGCATGTAAGGGCAATTTAAACTTAATCATGTGAATGTAAATGATCCTTAAGTCAAACATAAGCTTATCAGCATGTTTCAATCTAATTAAACCTCCTAAAACTTATAAACAAAACTTGTATAAATATTTCTAAAGTCAATATTAATAATCAATGGTTTAAAAATTAAAAACTTCGATAATTTTTTAAAATATATTCAACACATCTAAAGTAAAAAAAAAAACTCAAATAATTAAAACACATAAAATAGATTCTATGCATTTATTTTATCCTTTAAAATAAAATGATTGCATTTTTGTGTTTTTAGGATTAATGTATCATTGAATTCATTACATTTTAAATATATTAATCAATGTTTTCTTTAAAACATAGAAGTAAAACTCAAACCTCAAACTCAAAAAATCATAATAAAAGTATAATAAAATAAAATTCAATTCAATTAAAAATTCCCCTAGCCTAAAACAAATTGCACATTAAAAAATAAAACAATAAAACCCTAATATAAAGGAATAAACAGCACATCCTAGCTCACACTTTAGTATGCTTATTAGGACAACCAAATCTAATTCTAGGCTAGGAGAATTGTTTTACTTTGAACGATGTACTTACTACCTGTGTTTGCTGCTCTTGCCTGAGTGATGATGGTGGATCTATGTAAATATTTTCATGCTTGATTATGCTTTTGATGAAGATGCGTTAATTATTCTATGATGAACAATTAGATGCCATAGGTTAAGATTATTCTAGTCATTTATCACTAATCTAATCTTACGAAGTGGCTATGCTTCTGCTGGAATATAATAAAGGAGGGAAAATTCATTAAATTTTAAACTAATTCAGTTTTATGCAGGTGCTTATATTTGCTTTGCCCACTTAATCCACATTAAAATGGAGCTCAATACCTATAATGATCAAATATTTTTCCTCCAAAATACTTATTAAGATATTGAACATTACATTATGAGCAGGGTTGTTTGGGCTGATTTATTTTCTCCTTTGATCGTTATTGAGTCAGACACTTTCTATTTTGTTGCTGAAGGTCTTTTTCATATTGATAAATTCACTTTACCTACCTCTCTCACGTCCTTAATAAATCCAAGAAACCCTTACCTATAATTCTTTAAAGTTGAATTGATAGTACAAAATATTAATACAAGCTTACTCTTGCCCAAATATTTTGTATTGTTTTGTTTAGCCTTTGCATAATTTATCTGTGTATTATTAATAATAATTAGCCATGACAAGTTCATTTATTAAATATAAAGATGATACTCCAATGTAAAATTTTGGCTTCTTCATATTATATATCAAAAGATTTCTTATTTTGGATTGGGCTATATTTACCACATTTTATTGTTATCATTTTAATAAATGATAAATATTTTGCTTAAAAATAAAAACATTAAAGATGAAAGATACTATGTGGAAGCTCATATATATTAAGTGAAGACTAATTCCAGCTCAAGAAGTCATGTTTAGGTCATTACATTAAGGATTTGTTTGGGACGACTTTGTTACTACTTCTTAAAATAGCTTTTATTGATCATTTGGCTCAAGTTCATAGGATAATTTAATAAATGCATTAAAATTCTCAAAAGTTTAAATATTAAAAATATCTTATAAATTAGTTAAATCAACTTTGGAAAAATTACTCGTCACTTTTACTATTATATTGATTAATCTTGCAAATAAAGTTTAAAGTATGATTATTTAATTATTTTATTCACATTTATTTTAAAAAAAGAACAATTAACTTCTAATTTCTTTTTTTTAAAAATCAACCATATTGTTGGCATAAAAATGATATAGTATTATGTATACTTTCTATATTTATTAAATTTTAAAACAAAATTAAATTTTCAACATATTTACATTCCCTGTCACTTTTAGGCTACCCCATGACTCCCTTGAACAATGCACAACGAGGCCATCATGTGAGGGTTAACTGTTGTAATAGCTAAAAATATGTTCTTTGTGATTAGTTCTAGCTTTTACAAAGCATTCTGAGAATATTTTAGTTTCTGTTAAACAGGGATCTAATAACCTCTAAATTGCATAAGATTAAAGAAGAACAGGTTAATATTTCTTAGGGTTTAATGATTTTCACTTCTTGCTTAAGGAGAAGAACCTTTGGTTTTGAGCTCCGAGTAGTGGAAATGTAGTTAGTGAGGCGACTAGCTAGGTTTAGTCTTGGGCTGGGGATTGATCGAACTAACTTGTCTACTTGCATTTATTTCTTACATTACGCAAATGCACTTGCAGATTTCTTGAAATCTGTACTTGCGTTGATTCTTTTAAGTTTTCAGAAACATAATTTCTTCTAAACCTTAGTGTGGCATTCCCTTCATTATATCCATATGATTGTTATCAAATGAGAAATAATAATATATTTTAAAAAAAATTCAAAGTTACGCTTCTTTAACTTGAATAGTACTAAAACTATGACAATAAAATTATTTCATAATAAAAAATTTTAATTTCTAAATAGTTTTCAACGTTAAATATAAAGTTAGTTTTGCTAAATTTTTGTTTGACTATCAAAAGTCATTTTATTACTTTATTCTAAATTGCGTGCTTTGAATCATTAATCATAGAAGAAATAGCCACGTTTCATAAAATAATGATGAACAAGAGCTTACAAGTATGGTAAAAATTGTTGATTTTTAACGAAAATTTAAAAGGAATTTTAATTAAAAAATTATCCAGGTTTATCAAGTAATGTGTAGCAGCATAAAATTATAGCAGGGGCTTTGGAGAATCTATTCTTGAATTGGAGTAAAACAAAAATTTTAATTTATTAAAATAAAACTTATTAAGCATAATTATATGTTAATTATCGATGAAAATGTGAGAAATTTCAAAACATAATTAAATGTATTTAAAAAATTATAATTATATTAGAAATAACTAGGTAATTAGTTTATCTTATAAAATATAGAAAGAGAGAGATGAAAGTTTAATTAGAAAAAAAAAACTTAAATTTATTTGTATTGCAGAGATTATCTTTTTTTTTTTTATAACAAGAAGCTCTGATAAAAAAATAATAAAATTAAAAGAACCAGTCCAAAAGTCTATTTAACTTTGTAGTCTATATTGCTTTTGTACAATTCCTTGTTTATTTCTACTTTTGGAATTTTTTCATTCTATTATTTACGGTATATGTATGCTTACCTGCAGAGTATATATACATAAGTAATTAAACGCATACAACATAATAAAAATAGTAAAATATATTTGAAATAACGGTTTATATATTTTTCACTAAGTTGTTGATTACCTCCTAAAAAGATCTTGAATTTAATAATTGATTTAAAGATGCAAATAACAGAAGAAAAAAGAGAAAAGTTGAAAGTTTAAATGCTGCAAAACAATTTATCAGTTTTGTATGGTATGAAGCATTGCAACTGATTATCATGGTACAGTGTTACAGTCATCCTTTTGATTGGACTTACATTTAATACAGTTGTCATATTTCTTTTCTGTTTACTTTATTTTTATCTTCATGCTCTTTTTAACCTTACCTATCCTTTCCTGCTCATCACACTAAATGCTAGTTTTTCTTTCTCTCAGCATCTCCGCCTCTCCTTTTCTTTGCTGCACCATATTCTCATCCCTTCTCATGTGCAGCTTTGCATGCCAGCTTCTCTCTAAAATTCTTTGCAAGACTCTTTTTTTTTTTTTTTGGTCAGAAACAAGGTGAAAAGATTACTGAAAACTCCCAGCTTCCAGGATCTAGCAGACCTGAAAGCTGTAGTTAAGGAGAAGAGAACGGTAATGGTCTTTTTCCACTGAATCAAAATCTTCTCATCAAATTGAGAAAAGGTAAACTGGTTCCCTCCTCGTGTTTCTGCCTTATTAGTGTAACAAATAGGGAACATTTGAGAGAGAGGTAATATATAGTAGGGGTTTCAGCAACTTCCTTGCTAAAGCTTCTGATCTAGGGTTTTAATTTTGTAAATGACCATACTTCTTTTGGACTGGTTATTTTCCCTATATTATATGTATTTCAGTTTAATTTAACTTAACATAGTTAACTTACCAAGGACAAGTTATTTCAGATCTCATCCTGTCATATTCCAACCATGATGTATACAGATCTCAGGAAGATTATACCAAAAATGGAACCCTTGCTAAATCTCACTCATGCTTGTGAAATCCATGGCCGTACAAACAATATTGCAGTACTATACTTGATACGTATAAGATGGCAAACTAGCTAACCCAGCCGTCAATCTACGAACCCTAACCCTAGCCTGAAAATCAAGATATGGAAACCTTATTTTTACATGACCCTTTTTTTTTTTTTTTTTTTTTTTTTTTTTTTTTTTTTTTTTTTTTGCTTTCTTTTTTTTCAATCCTAAAGTTATGATGAATGTACTTTATTTCTGAAAAAAAAAAAAAATCTAATTTCTTCTATCGTGGTTTACTTTATGCTAAATATTCAAGCGAATTAATGCTTCAATTAACAGAAGAAGAAACTAATAACGAGTTATACGCGGCCATGGCATCATCCTCATCAAGCTCCTCTTCAAACTCTCCGTGCGCTGCCTGTAAGTTTCTGAGAAGAAAATGCATGCCAGGGTGCATCTTTGCCCCTTACTTTCCACCAGAAGAGCCTCAAAAGTTCGCCAGCGTCCACAAGATCTTTGGTGCCAGCAATGTTACCAAGCTCCTCAACGAGCTCCTTCCCCACCAACGAGAAGATGCTGTGAATTCGCTTGCCTACGAAGCAGAAGCACGGATGAAGGACCCTGTCTACGGCTGCGTTGGCGCCATCTCCGTCCTCCAGCGACAGGTTCAGCGACTTCAGAAGGAGCTCGATGCAGCCAACGCCAATCTGTTGAGGTATGCCTGTAGCGAAATCCCTTCCGCTCTTCCTATAACGACGGTGCCTTCGCCGGTTGTGTTAGGTGGCTACCAGCGGTTGGATTATGAAAGAGGTCCAGTGGTGGCCGCCAGCAATGTTAATAGAGACTGCAACGGCAGCGGCAGCTATTTCCAGCCTTTAACACATGCTGGACTGCATCAGGTCCTGCTTCCCTATCATTCATCTCTTCAATGGAGTTCTATTTCAGGCAATCAACAGCTGAAAGAGAATGGTGGTGATGGTTATGGTGACATGGATCGCAGTTAGGGTAGTAGAGAGAGAAGTGTGGGTAAGCTTCTGAAAATAAAAGACTAGCTTGTTCAGGCTGTGCTGCTTAATTAATTTTATGTGGGTTTTGTTTCTTTGTTTGTTTAAACATGTGCTGATGTTGCGGCATTGATTGCTGTGTTTTTGAAGTCAAATGATGTAGCAATCATGCATTATTCTCTCGTAATTGTAATGCCTCCACAGCTCCACTTAACGTGAGGCCGAAGTATGGATGAAATCGGATATTTTGCTTTTATCCCAAGATCGAGTAATGCCATTCACCGGCAAAGTGAGGATCTTTTTCCAACACTTAGAAGTTCAACGACATTTTAAATTTAAGATCACGGTATAGGAGTAGAGTATTATAATATTCACCCTCATTTTAATAATATGTTGGTATACAACTAGTGGGAATATAATTGGCATATCCAATAGAAAATGTACTTCTCTTTTTTTCTTTTTTTATTTGTTTGCGTTAGCTTGTTCAAATTAAGCAAGTAAAGGATCAGTTGTATGGTAAGATGGTTACTTATCTCGCAGACTATTTGGAGAATATTTTTAATGATAATTGATGTATAAAGATTAAGGTGAAAATGATTAGTAGGATGTCAAAAACATTTGTCTCATGATAATGTTTATATTGCATACAATAATTGTCAAATGTGGGAGTACGGCTTAAATCATCTATTGTATGAAAAATTGCATGGAATTTTGAAATATATTTTCATGTTACGTTGTCAATTCCCAAGCTCTATATGAGAAAAGTGGAGGGTTGTATTAGGTAGTCAACACAACCAATATAAAATTTATCGAATAGTCATGACATGAATCTTTAATACATTATGGTAAGGGTAGTGGTGGTCTCTCTACAATCTTTCCTATGGGTATATCTTCTTTCTCCTATATCTTAGGTTATTCTACCAATTTGGTGGATTCTATATATGCTTCATAGGGCTTCTCCTCAAACATATCCATCCACTAGCCACCTCCTTTAACTCTCTACCACTTCTGAACTATATAACTTTCTGCTACTCCTTACCTTTATCTTTGGGGTCAATCTCAATATTATTAAGCAAGGTCACTTGTGGTCTACTATATGGGGAATTAGCCAACTTCCCTAATTAATTCTTTAGCTCCTAATGGTAATAGCTTGGCTCTAAAGTTGGGTCCCCATTTGCAACATAACATGTTATAAACTTATTGTGTAAATCTTGAATCTATGCAAGTATATATGTCTTATCAAATAATAAAGTAATGAAGAGAGTATTATTCACACGAAGATATAAATTACCCTAAAACCACTCTAGTACTATTTTTTTATGAACTACTTAATTTATCTTACTGGTAGAATTATAGGGGCATGCTGATGAGAGCAATGATCTATATTATAAAAAGAAAAAGTCTATGTCAAAGGGGCTTTGAACCTATTATGGTTAGAAACTCATGAATACAAAAATTATAACTCAATCTCTTCAACTTTTGTTGTGAGTTAAAAACAATTTACTCTACTCCAATGCATATGTAAGAGTGTTTAGCTAAATGTTTACTAAACTACAGTGATTATGTCTCTTTAATATTCCAAAAATCTACCTACCATATGTTTATGCATGGAATAGTTTAGTTTTAAATGCCCTAATTATTCCTTTACTTCTCCATCGAAGAGGTAGACCACACAAAATTTTAAGTTCATACAAGGCCTCTACATTAACTAAATTAAGTACGAGAGAAATAAAATAAAATTTGAATAAGTTATTGAAACAAGATCCAATCTAAACTAATATTATTTTTAACATATCAAAAGCCCAAAGAAGTACTTTAGCCAACTATGGAAATGAAAATAAACAAAATTAACTAGATTTAACTACAAGATAAAAGTACAAGAGATAAGTCTAGAATAAATATCACCTCGAAGATCTTTACCACATGATACATGCTCTTCTTAACACTAGAATCTATTTCCTGCACTTGCACTCTCTCCTTCACTCTCCCAAGACTTGTTCATATACTATTTATAAATGAAATTATGGCCAGCCTCCGACATAAATTTGGCTAAAACAATTTTAATTTATTATATATAATTGATAAAAGCACCCTGACACTATTAGTTGTAGTGCTATGGTGCTAATGAAATAAACTAATGTCATAGAGCTCATGAATATCATGCATCCTTAAGATGCTTTCATTGAATCGATGTGTCGCTTCACTATGGTAACTAAATTAATTATTTTTCCATAGTGTTCAGGTGATTAGGCACTGCAACATTGCCATGTACTGGTACTATGACATTACATTTCCTCCACTACGGCCTCTTGCACTCTAACTTTTTAATCAAAATCAGGGGTCAGATGCCCCAGCACTCCATGGTATGATGCCATGATGCTTGTGTGATTTTCTAAATTTTGAGATTTTTTCATAAATTCCTCAATCGAGAGTTATTGTTTTGATGTTTCATTTTTACTATAAAAATACCTCATCAAGTGAGGTACTTTTATAGTAAAAATGAAAATCAAAATAATAACAAAAAAAGCCACTAATAAATTCCCCCAAAATTAAACCATTACTTGTCCTCAAGCAATCTTCATGCACTTTCCAATAGGTGATCATATTTTTGACAAATTGCAATTATGTAATGTTAAAAATTAAGTTAATATCGACTTCATGATGTTAATTATAATATTCAATGGTTAATAGTTTCATTTAGTACAACCAATAACAAGCATCCTAATAAATCATTTCAAATAACATTCCAAATAAATTTAGATCTAAATTGTGTAAGTGTAACTTTTGACTAATTATTTTGGGTTGATTATCTTAGATTTAGGGAAAAATTATATTTATTTAATCTTCCAATTAAATTACAAGCTTCATTATGTTCTATAATTCTTATAACTCCCTTTAGTTTAATTCTTTCATAGATTCTTTTGGTAGAGTTCTAACTTTTCAAGTGCCAAATTTTGGTACATCAGTGCTTAGATTTTTTTTCCTTATTTTTCTTTCACTTTTCATTTTTTATTTTTTTTTCCTTTTTATTTCTTTGTTTTTTACTTTATGTCCTTTTTCTTTTAACACTTTTGCTTAGTACTTTTATGATGATGTTGATTATTTGTTTATCTCTCTCCTTAAAGTAACCTATATTATAATTAGCTAAGGTTTATTTATAAGGGTGTATAGTTCCATAATAGCATGCTTCTAATGAATCTTCATATTTAAATTTTACATTTTCACTAAATTTGTAATCATGTAAAACTAAACTAAGTAGTCAAGTGCTTTTGTGTGGTTTAGGAGTTTCCTTTATTAAGAATTATTAGTTTTACTGATTTTCAATAGTTACTATTAAGGTTGTTTAATTTCTATTATTTTCCATCATCTATTCAATTGATTACCATAAGCTTTATATTTTTCCTATTTTTAGTCAATTACAAATTTATAATTTTAGCAATTAATATATATAATCTCAAATAAAATTTAGAATACTTGTAAAGTAAGTAATACACTTAAAGTTTTTTCACAAGGAGCAACTAATTTCCATTAACATAAAATTAAATCACATGCATTTTAAAGAAATTAAAACTACAAAAAAAAATAAAGAAAAATATTTTAAATCAAAATACAAATACAAATACATAGGTAATAATAATAATAATAATAACAAATCCCTTCTACTCATATGTATTTTCTTCTGCTACTGTTGATTTATGGTGTTATCTTTAAGGTTTATAAGTAGGGGCTACAAGGATTGCTTGTTGGTCTAGACTTTTAAATAACTAATAGCTTATAAACATCCCAACTAGTGCTTCATTAAACTTTGAAGCATACAAGTACTATCATTGTTGCATGTTCATCATATAATCTATTTCATGGCACATCCATTATTGCCACTGCATACACTCTTCAATATAATTATGCATCCTAATAACATGCTCCCTATGGTCAGACACCCGGTCATGCAGTGTACGTCCTAAGGGTTGAAGGCTTCTGACTAATCCCCTCACCTATTTCCTAGTGATAGTCTTAAAAATTATTTTTTTTATTTTATTATTTTAGAAATGGGGAGACACTTCTCTTCCCTATATTCCCTTAAGATCCCAGCCTATAAACATAAAGAATATATAAGGGAAAGGATGACCAAATCCTATAGATGCAATGCTTCAAATCATATACTATAGAGAATGTTAGATAGCTTTCTAATACATATATAGTGTGACCCATATGAACTAAGTAATTCAGAAAGGCTTGGCCTTTTATCACTTTTAAATTGAGAGTACCATAAAAACTATTCATTGTAGGAAAAACTGGCATTACCACCAAACGTTTTGGTTGTATTATATCCGCTGGTCGTAGGGACGGTGTAACCGGTGGATATTTTACCGGTCAATTACTAGCGGGTTGTTCGATGGATAAACCGCTAAAACATTATCGGAGAAAAAACCCTACATCAATTTTGTTATATTATTGGACATCTTAGTTATATGTTGGACATTTCTTTTCTATGTTTGTATATTTTATTTTCCTTTTTTAATTATGCAAAAAACTTTATGTTTATTTTTAAACTATTTGGTGATTGTTCAATATCCTTTTGTGATCAAACTTGTTATTGCATGCATGTAGCATTTTTGTTTATGTTCAATGTTTGAATGTGAATATGATTTGTGTATATTATTTATGTAGGATTGTTGTGTAGTATAAAACATGTGTGGGAGGGCCTTTTTTTTATATGAGTTTCTATAGATTTCCAGTAGAATATCCACTGGAAATGAAGATGCGATAAATTATATCATGTTTTTGGTAAAACATTTTTGCCCTAAGTACCGGTGGATAAACCTACAAACATGTCCGTCTGTTAGTTCCTGATGGATAAACAAATACATCATATGCATAAAGAAGATGTGATATTAGTTTGGCTTTAGGATGAACTCTAATACCAACCGAGATCCTCTTTGTTAAAACAACTTGGAAAGCGATTCAACACACATAATAAATAGATAATGCGATAGAGTACG